CTTGGGCTTCTCCCTGGGGGGAAAACAGAGCCAAAATCTGGGAATGTAGCCCCAAATCCCGGGATTTGGGGCTGGTTTTGCCCCCCAGACTCACTCGACGAACTCGTGGTGGCCCAGGTTGGCGAACATGAAGCCGTGGTAGCCAAAAACGTCCCCGGTGAAGAACTTGACCCCGTTCTTGTGGCAGATCTGGTCGATCCTCACCATGGATTCCCGGGAGCAGCACGTCAGGCACACCTGGGAAAGGGAATTCCAGAGGTTATCCCTACTCTTTAGGGGCCAAATCCCTGTTTTTAGGGGCCAAATCCCCATTTTTAGGGGCCAAATCCCCATTTTTGGGGCCATATCCCTGCTTTTAGGGGCCAAATCCCCATTTTTGGGGCCATATCCCCATTTTTAGGGGCCAAATCCCCATTTTTGGGGCCATATCCCCATTTTTAGGGGCCATATCCCCATTTTTAGACCCCATACCTCCATTTTTAGGGGCCAAATCCACATTTTTGGGGCCATATCCCCATTTTTAGACCCCATACCCCCATTTTTAGGGGCCAAATCCCCGTTTTTAGGGGTTTTTTTTGGTGGGGGGAGAGAGGAACGTTCCCGGAGGGTGTGGAACGAAGGGACTGGTGGTTTGTTCTCCCCTCCTGGAATTCCAGGGGTTTAGGGAGACGTGGGAGGGAATTCCCAGGGAATTTCAGTGGGAATTGGGGTGTTGGGAGGTGAATCCAGGGGGTTTTGTAGGTCTGGGATGGGTGGGAGTGGAACAGGATTTGTGATTGGGGGGGGGAGTTTAACATTCCTGCTGATCCCAGACTTGGATGTGCTGCTTTTCCTGCTCATTTTCTGGGATGATTCCACCCCAAAATGGGATAATTCCACCCAAACTTAGACAATCCTACCCAAAAAAAGGGATAATCCCCCCCCAACTGGTCCCAGCCCCCCCAGTTTGTTCCGTACCGCATCAAACTGGGTGAAGAATTCCTGAGGTTTGGAGTCGACGCTGTCGGGATCAGCCTTGACCTCCACCATGGGATTGAGGCTCTGGGCCCGTGCCAGAGACGCCTCCGCCCGATTCCGACCCTGGGAACCCGCCGGGATCAGGAACTGGGCACCACACTCGTCCTGGGAAACCTGGGAATGGGATACAGGGATGGGAATTCCAGAACTGGGATCCCACTGGGATCAGGAACTGGGCACCACTGACTTTCTGGGAAACCTGGGAAAGGATGGGATGGGACACAGGGATGAGAATTCCAGAACTGGGATCAGGAACTGGGACACCTGGGAAGGGATGGGATGGGACACAGGGATGAGCTTGTGCCCACGTGTGTCCCCAGGTGTGTCTGTGCCCCCCAGGTGTGTCTGTGCCCCCCCAGGTGTGCCCAGGTGCCCCCAGGTGTGCCCAGGTGTGTCTGTGCCCCCCAGGTGTGCCCCCCAGTTACCTGTTGGTGGTCGAGCAGGGTGAGCCCCCTGACCCCGGCCAGGATGAGGCTGTGCCCAGGTGTGCCCAGGTGTGTCTGTGCCCCCCAGGTGTGCCCAGGTG